AGAGCGTGAGGAGGAGGGAGTGGCAGAGACAACGTGTGATGAACTGACTACAATCCCCATTCCCTATCCCCCTGGGCTGCTCGAGGGAAAGGAGGTAGAGAAGCCGGGAGTAAGTTGAGCCTGGAAAGAAAGGAGGGGTGGGGTGAAGGTGTTTTAAGATTTACTTTTATTTCTCTTTATCCCACTCTGCTTTGACTGGCAATGAATTAAACTAATTCACCCCAAGTCGAGCCTGTTTTGCCTGTGATGGTAACTGGTGAGTGATCCCCCTGTTCTTCTCTCGACCCATGAGCCTTACGCCATATTTTCTCCCCCCTGCCTCATCCTGCTGAGGACGGGGAGTGATGGAGCGGCTTGGTGGGCACCTGGTGGCCAGCCAAGGTCAACTCACCACGCTGCATACGTGTGAGCATGATTTTTATGTGCCAGAGTAGGATGACATTCACTTGTCCGAAGAACAGACATCTATTGCCGCTCGAGATGCCATGTCACATCTTCTCTCATCTTCAGCTGCTGCTCCAGGAGGGTGTGAGAATCCCATAAATCCCATGCTCTGATAGCCCTGTGGGAGCTCAAATTGCATTAGGCTTCCACATTTGGGCAGCTGAATCTAACTCTTGACTCTCATTCCTTAAGTCAAACCAACTTAATCAACTGCTTACACAGAAGCAAGTGTTCCTGAGTTTTATCACGGCCCGTATGTGACCCGTGAATTTCACCCTCATCACTTAGCACCTCTTATAAACAGATCTCCAAAAAGACTGCTTGCATTTCATAGTTCACAACTTGATCATTATTAATAATTTTCTGATTATGTATAAAATTTGAAATTTGCATTTTCTTCTTTGTAAACTGTTCCAATGGGTTTATTAGTCAAAAACGCACACAACAAATGCAACAAACACTGAAGTAAATCCATGTTTCTTTCGTTCAAGTGACAGGAAATAAAATTGCAATATTTGACGGGCCTGGGTTTTTACAAAACTAGTTCTTAGTACAAGATGAATCCTTAAGTAGTACTTCAGAGACTATTTCTTTCTTGACCATGGCTTTAAAAGCTGATGCTACTTTTTTTCCTTTCCTCTCTGCTTTCACATTCCTTGCAGTTCACTACATTATTAATTCGTTAGTCTCCTCCTGGCCCTGTGGGAGGATGTCACACAGAGGGTAGTGTGTTTTGAATGTATACAGGGCGTACTCCCAACCATTTGCCATCAGAGCCTGATCTGAAGAATGGGTAGAGCTTCCCAGAAACCTCAAAAGTGAGAGACTCGAGAAGGCACTTTTCTTCAACATCAAAGAATGAAAGCTTGTGAAGTTCCTGATCCAGGAAAACACCTACCACGCTGCAGGGCTTGTACTTTCTTACATCCTTCCCACCAGTTAAGCTGTATTTTCCCTGAGAAAACTGCAGACTGAGCAAAGTCCCCTTTGGGAAAGTATTTGTTGTGTTGCTCTTCAGTGTATTTCTAATTTCTTCACACACCACACCCAGCTCCCACTCCAATTTGTCCCCCACCTCCACTTCCCAATAATGTTTCTTTTCTGAAAACCCTTCAGTTGCTACCACTAGTGCTTTGGGCAGGATCTCGTTCTGGGTGGAGGACATGATTTTGTTTTTCTCCTTTATGGTCAGGCTGGGATGTTTGCAGTTCTCATCCAGAACGATATTAACTTGAGAAAGGAAGGAAAAAAAAATATAAAAAAAGCAAAGCACTGAGTTATTTCTGATTTTCAGGAAAATAAACAGTAATCTGAAAGGAAGTGAATGAAGGAGACAAACGATGAAATTAAAAAAAACCCCAACCGAATACCCCAGGAATATATGATGGGCACTTGTCAGACAAAAACTCAATATCATATCCAGCAGGGCATGCCTGTTCTCTGGCCTCACTGTGCCTTTATTAATTCATCTTTACTCTGACTGAGGAGATCCAGGCACTCTCGTCAGAGCCATCTGACAGCCTGATTTTTTTTTGGAATAAAATGCAAAGCTGAGTCTCTCAAGGTGTAAAAAGCTCCTGGTTGGTACAGAAACGATTCACCCCGACTCGTGACACCCAGAACTGTGCCGACGGGAGATGCCTAAGAAAACCTGGGTGTGTGTGTACGGGAGATGCCTAAGAAAACCTGGGTGCCTGTTTCAAGGAATGGGCTGCAAAATTTCCCCGAATTCTGACAGCCTGTGAGTTTTTTTGTAACACAAGGGATAGACTCCGGTATGCGCAGGAAGCAACATGAGGTTAACGGCAGGTGAGATGTGGCTTACCTGCTTTGCTACGAGCTCTCCTGAACTCTACAAGAGAAGAAATGAATGGTTTACTAAAATTACTGCAGAATGGTAATATGTCTAATTTTAGTACAGGATGGTGTTGGAGGGGTGTAGATTTGATAAAATTGGTTTTTCAGCTTTCAACTCACCCAGTTCTTTCTGGACTTTCTCTGAAAAGGACAGAAGGATATATTATCCTCATGCACCGCAAGGCTCTTCTGTAGCATATCTGTGCTGATAAAAGTCTTTCCCATACTACCTCACTTGAGTACGACCTGGCCTAGGACTCAGGAAAGGATGCTAGCTTAACTTTGGAGGGGTAGAGGATGTCTAAGCTAGTCATCTGGGTTCTGTGCAGAGTCAGGAGAAAAGGAACGGCACATCAGCAAGCGTTTCTTCTCTGCTGTTTCGACCACCTAGCTGAAACTATTCTCGGACGCCTCCACCTCTCAGTGGGGGAGCCAAGCATACTGCCTGAGCCTCAGTGCCCAGACCTGAGTTAGGTGACCCTAACCAGTTAGGTGAGCTGAATCACCTGTAGGTACATGCAGGAGCCGTGGCCCTGCTTCCAGACCCCGTCAGGTGACAAACAGCAGCTTCACAAGGCCAAGAGTCAAAATGAGTATAAAAGATGGCGTTTTTTTCCCCCCCTTGTTTTCAAATATATCAGTTTGTTAGTAGGAAGGGAAATCTGTTTTCTACTCAGCTACAGCAAAAAATAAAGCCTTAAAGGACAGAAACTATGTTCCCTGGTTATTGAAACAGACATTCTGGAGCCCAAGAAAAGAAAAAGACTTTTCTTTTTTTTTTTTTTTAGGGATAGATAAATCTCAGGGTGGCCGGGAATGCAGTGCTGTGACAGCCCTCAAACGGTGCCAGGGTTCAGTTCCAAAATGGTGTTTCTAATCACAAATAATTTAAATTATTTTTAAGGACCGAAGTTAACTTAATATCCTTACCAATTTTAATCAACGTATCCTCATTTTCTACAAGGAAGCAAAATTAAATTGAAAGTTAGGATGACTAAACCAGGCAAATTATCGTACACTCACTGTGCATTTTGAATACTAATAGACAGGTTATCTATATACATATAGGATTAATCTGTTTAATAATTTGTTTATGCATCTGTTTAAATATATAAATATATATATGATTAATCTGTTTATCTTTGTAGAATAATAGACATGCGTTATTTAAGTTTTCTCTGCTGTTAAATATTTAAGTTTTCTCTGCTATTAAATAATGTGTTGCACAAATACTCCTGAACATAAGACATGACAAAAGAAGTAAAGGAAAATATCAGAAAGAATCAGGGAGTAATTCAGAACAAATAGCACCCAAGGGTATTGACAGTTCATAGAGCATCATGAGAGAGGGCAAGCTTGAGATCATATTTGTCTCTTGTACACAGACAAACCCCACCGTTATCCTTGTTGTGGTTCTTAGCTTCAGTTGGGGGGACACAACTTGCCACAGCTGCTCTTTTATTATTATATATATGAACATAGATAATGCTCAACAGGAATTGTGCTCGTTTGACTAGAGTTGGACTAGACGATCTCCAGAGGTCCCTTCCAATCCCTACCATTCTGTGATTCTGTTTTTTTCCCCCTTATATTCTTTTTAATGCTGTGATCAGGTGCTTTAGTCATTATTTTGTTCTGAGATGCCATAAATAAGATGTTCCACTTCAGTATTTTCTAGCAATGGAAAAATAACTTTATATATCTGTGGAGAGAGATATAAATATCTATAGATACTCTCTACCTATAGATATATAGATGTTTACCTATAGATAAAAAGAGAGAGACTGTGTACACACACACACAACACAACTTTGCGATTATCTTTTTGGTTGCAATAGGGGAGTTAATTCTTTGCAAATGTGAAGTTCTGAGAGTGTTTTCCAACTCTAGTATTCAAAATTGCATAAACCCCACCACTATTTCATTAGAACGGTCACCTGCAAAGCATCTTTCAGCATATGGTTAAAAGAATAGAGTGTGGTCCTAAATGCAGAGTAGGCAAAAAATGTTATTTTACCCTTCTGAAAGCGGGCCTGCTCCTCAGCTGAAAAAGAAAGCAACAAACTCAGAAAAAGCAGAGAATGTTACATTTTTCGAGACAAAAAACTCACAAAATTTCCGAGATGACTGAGAATTTCAGTGTTAAAGAATGTGTTCGCTTAGGGAACTGAGGCTTGGCATTAAGTTCAGGACATAATTTCAGAATAAGCGGGGAACAAACTGTCCTCTAAAGATACCCATCCTGTAGAAGGAGTCTAGATTATTGGCTTAGACTGCATACTTAGCATCCACTGGCTAAAACCAGGTGACATTGAAGATAATAATATCTGTTACTAATTTAATTGAAAACTCTAGCTTTAGACTGGAAGGACATTTTCAATATGGGCCCTCTTTCATGATACAATAACTTTTGGAAATACTCTTCTAAGCAAAGGATACTCAAAACCAACATAACAAGGAAGCGAAAAAAATGCTCTTACCCAATTCCTTCTTGAGTTGATCTAACTCTGAAAGAGATTATGTTTAAATATTAAACCACCATTTCCGTTCCTTTTTTTTTTTTTTTAAACAAAAAGATGTTGCATTTTCTATCTGTTCCACTGCGTTCTGTATCGCAAGAGCTAAGATAAAATTAAATGTTCTGAGCTTCATAAGAATGGCCCGATGTTCCCTTGCTTTATGGCAGACACAGCTATTGGCTTCGTTATGCTGGTACCTTCTCTTAAGGTGGGAACAAAAAGACTGGTCAAGAAATTCACCTCAATAAAATGGAGTACTTTAGATGACTGAACTAAGGGGAGAAACCAAAACTAGTAATTCAATGAAGGTGTGATTGGATGGCTTTAGTGTGTGATTGGATGGCTTAATATGTGATTGAATGGCATTAGCACACCCATCTGCAGATGGTTCTTATTACTTATGTTGAAACAACAGAACCGTGCTCAGATAATCTTCAATATGGCTTTCTAAAGGCTATAATTGGTGTTTCTCCATGGTACCATAAGGATTACTAAAAATTTCAAAAAAAATCACTGGATTTACTACATCTCTGGCCCACTTTGCACACCTAGCTCACTTGTTCTTCACGGTAAAAATAATCTTCTTGTTCTACTTTTGTACAATGCAGTCCTAACCAGTCTTTACAAAAAGATCAACAAACTATTTTTTTTTTATTTTCAAAATCTAGAGGTTAATTCTGTCTTTTATTATGTCTGAAATTCAGCACAAACCATGATCCCAAATTAAGAACATATTAACTTACCTGAATTAACCAATGGAACAGTTTGCAAGCTGAAATACTGAGCAAAAAATACCAACCATAGATCAATCAGTCCTTTTCTTTGCAGTGGGCATCAAATATCTTCAAATGGTCAATATAAAAGGTATTGCAATGATTTTTCTTTATTTTATTGTACAAAAGCAAAACAGTCTCTAATATTTCCTGAGCTCAGCTTTTATCTGGTTCAAAAGGACCAGAGAGATTTATAGATAGAAATCACTGGAAAAAAGCTGTTACGCTTACCTTTTTGAATTTCATTTTGTGCATTTTCTGTGAACAAAGAAATATTTTATATCCTAAAAAGAATTCTTCAAGCACTTAACATCCAGGTTTAAAGACTAAACAGAAACGATTAAGCCACAACGATCTGTATAGAATCATAGGATCATTTAGGTCGGAAAAGACCTTTAAGATCATCAAGTCCAACCTTTATCCTAACACTACCAAGCCCACCATGTCTACATGTCTTTTAATTCCCTCCAGGGACGGTGACTCAACCACTTCTCTGGGCAGCCTCTTCCAATGTTCAACAACCCTTTCCATGAAGAAATTTTTCCTCGTGCAATCTAAACCTTCCATGGCACAACTTGAGGCCGTTTCCTCTTGTCCTATCACTTGTTAGGTGGGAGATGAGAACGATCCCCACCTCACTTCAACCTCCTTTCAGGCAGTTGTAGAGAGCAACAAGGTCTCCCCTCAACCTCCTTTTCTCCACGCTGAACAATCCCAGTTGAGGGAGCTGGGGGTTGAGGGAACCCCCATTCCCTCAGCCGCTCCTCATAAGAGCTGTTCTCCAGACCCTTCACCAGCTTCGTTGCCCTTCTCTGGACAAGATCCAGCACCTCAATGACTTTCTTGCAGCCTTTGAGGTGTGGCCTCACCAGTGCCCAGTACAGGGGCACAATCACCTCCCTGGTCCTGCTGACCACATTATTTCTGATGCCAGCCAGGATGCTGTCTGCCTATATAGTTGTATGTATGTATTTAAATGTGTATATACATACACATAAATTATTAGTTTTATTTCATACTAGGTAAATAGATTTAAAAAGTAAATTTTTAAAGATTCTATTTAAACAAGTACAATACAGGCATTGACTGAAACAAAAATAAAACCCTTGTTTCCTCAAGTTAAGCCAGTTTGTTGGCATATTTGAAATAAAAATACAAAGATCAAGCACAAAACACATTGTTTTCTCTGCTGTCTCAAACTCACAGCCACTCGGGGACCGGCAGCTAAGGTCACGCTTTACAGAGCCATGGAGGAGCTGGGGTTGGAAGGAGACTTCTGGAGATCCATCTGCTCAAGCAGGGTTGGCCCAGGGCTGTGTCCAGCTGCAGTTTGAATGTCTCCAACGATGGAGACGCTGCAACCTCTCCAGAGCAACCTGTGCCAGTATCCAAGCATCTTCATAGTAAAAAGACATTTTCTGCTCTGTGATAATTTATTATATAATCAGTTTTACTTCACAAGTCACACTGACTTATCATCTGACAGGTGGCAAAATTCTGCAAAATGGATGAGAAGTGTTTCAGGGATGACTGGATGCGAATTTAATAGAAGTCTCCATAGATTTGCTCCCACATACACTTTTTTTTTAATTTTAATTCCAAAAATTTTTGATTGTGTGCAAATTTATGAGTTTAGTTCCTGGGCAGCAGTTCACTCCCTCAAAAAAAGGTATTTTCTTTCCTTTAGAGTTATCATCAGTATAAAACAGCCACTAGATTTATTCTGCTTTTCTTCTATAGGTCAGAAGTCCTAAAAAAATTAAAATAATCTTATCCTGAAGATTAAACTGTTCAGAAATTGATGTAAATATTCAGATAAACAAGAGATTTTAATTTTTAAAAAAGAAAATAACTCCCTAGCGTGTGGTATTTTTCAAGGACAATAAGTTAGATTCTCCAGAAGTTTACAAAGGCTACCTTTAGCCTAGGAAGCTTAATTTCTAAAAAATTGTTTCTGTAGTCATTATAGCATAAAAGAGCTCCATGTACAATTCAGAGGAATAAGCTGAGTTCCTCCTCTGAACTCATCCTGATTTGCTTCGTCGCTGGTGAGAGATGAAAGATGCAAGCTATCTAAAAGATGCTACATAGTTTTCTCTTTTTCTTAAGACTTCTTTTTTTAAATTAAAAAGAAACTAGAAAAAACTGTTTATAAGTACCTCCGGTTCTCACATGAAACAAAATTTTGTATGGAAAATTTTATATCTACTGAAAGGTGGAGTGGGTCTTGGCAGGGAAAAACTGGTCTGTAGGCACAGCTTCCAGGCAGAGCACGCTGCTGCTTCTATGCCCTGCTCAATGACATCCACGTGGCAGCTTTAACCACACTCCAACATGGTATTTGGGGTGTCCGAAGAGTCTTTCTATCACGTTTTCGCCGATAGGCACTAGAAAATGTTCTACTGTTTTGAGAAGCCTGTGTCCAGTTCTGGCTCCCCAGTTCAAGAGAGACAGGGAACTACTGGAGAGACTCCAGTGGAGGGCCACGAAAATGATGAGGGGACAGGTGCATCTCTCCTTCGAGGAAAGGCTGAGAGACCTGGGGCTCTTCAGCCTGGAGAAGAGAAGACTGAGAGGGGACCTTATCAACTTCTAAATATCTAAAGGGCGGGTGTCAAGAGGATGGGGCCAGGCTCTTCTCAGCGGTGCCCAGTGACATGACAAGGAGCAACAGGCACAAACTGGAGCACAGCAAGTTCCACCTGAACATGAGGAAAAAAATCTCTTTCCTTTGACAGAGACGGAGCACTGGAACAGGCTTCTCAGGGAGGTTGAGGAGTCTCCTTCCCTGGAGATATTCAAAACCCGCCTGGATGCAATCCTGTGCAACCTGCTTTGGGTGAACCTGCTCTAGCAGGGGGGTTGGACTAGATGATCTCCAGAGGTCCCTTTCAAGCCCTACCATTCTATGATTCTGTGACATGACAGCTTGAAGAACTGTCCAAAAGTCATTTTTCTGGAATTGGTAAATTTTTAGATAGACAGTGGGTCAGGGGAAAGAAAACCTGCCAAGGTGATTGCACAAAAGGTGACCTATATGAGAAGATTTTTACCACTTTTTCAACATCTGCAGATTAAGTGGGACGCAAGAATATCCTCAATTCTCATCAGCAGTGGGCCAGTCTTGCTGTGGTGACTTACTCCCCAAAGGCACCTTAGCTGGAGGTTACAGGTAGATAGAGTCAACCAAAACCCCAATCTTTTGAAGTCTGTAATAATACAACCTTAGGACTACAAGTAATTAGCCCCGCGGTTTATACCACTGGCCAACATTTCTACTGTTGCACATATCTTTCAAGATGTTCATGATGAAATATAGTATTAATATGACTTTTAAATATGGTAATAATATGACTTACTTTCACGAGCAGTTGTCTTATTGCTCTCTGAGAGAGACAGAGAGAAGAAAGAGGTAGGGAGAAAGAAAATGTTATGTTACTTTCTTCTTGCTTGAAGATTTTCGAAGTGAAACTTTTCATATTTCATGGTGGTCATGTTTGGTAAGGAAGAAACGTGTTTTCAAAATTTCTTGATTTGCATATGCTTGTATCTTCCATTAAAATAATGAGAAATCATACAGAATTTAATGAATAAAAGTCATGATGCTGAAAGCAGAAAAAATGCAGACTTGACTAGCTGTCTTGGCAACAGATTTGTGTGGTAGAACTGTCTTAGTTAGAAAATAGCTTATAAAGCAATAAAATAACTTGCAAATAAGTTAAGCCAGTGGATATATTTGGGTACACTAACATTTCAAGTTATTCACAAGAATCA